CCCTGCATTGCAGACAGAAAACCATGTTTCCTGCCTGTATGATTTTAGTATTTTTCCCATAAGAATTTGCATGTCAGTTCCCACCCATGACAGGGATGTGTTGTTGAGGACAACTGAGCATGTTTCCTTTGTTACTTGTATTAACCCACAGAAGTTAGTAAGGCAATCGAGAGGAAGAAAATCAAAGGAATGATGGAGTTTCAGATCATAGGCAACAGAATGCTTTCCCCCCTATTCAGTAAATAGAGATTCCCAAGATGTAAACACAGAAACCAAGATAGCATTTATTCGTTTACACTGAAGGCCTCTTTATTTCTGATCATTTGTACAACTGTGCACACAGAAATAACAAACTGAATCCTCTTCTGGGTAAGACAGACATTAAAGTCTTTTCTTTAGTTGATATTTAGAAAATAAACAGGTGTGGCTAAGAGGAGACAGTCATCTTAGAGGGTTTTCCTCCTGGAATGTTGAGATCAGGACAGCAAACTGACTTGAAAAGCTAAATCTGAGAATGTGAGTGGGGGGAGATGTGACTATATCTAGGAAAGGGGACATTTTCACATCTGAGTGCCACTCAAGGTGGTCAGTGTGGACCTCTCGTGAACTTAGAGTGAGGAGTAAAGTGTGGATCAGTCCCATCTAAGCTGTCCTGAGTGTGGCCGCTGCTACCAGTAAACATTGTCTTTGCAGTTCTTCACACAGAGAATGCAGCCGAGATGGCAATTAACCCCAGGAATATTCTCGGGACCCTGGACGCTGAACTATAACCACACTGGCCCTTTTCTATGTAATTATTGATATTACATTGATAATATTTGACTTACTTTGATACTTACTTTGTGAGCAGGGTAAAGACATGACTTGCTGCCTATTTCCCAGTTCCCCTGGTTGCTGCTGGACCATGTTGGGAGGGTTAACAAGGAATCAGGGCACCAGTAGGAGACCCTTTGCTGCTCCAGGCAGGGGGTCAGTGACAACACTTGAGTGGTCCTCGGGACAGCTTTGAGGATGTTCTGGGGCAAGAATCAGAAGCACGTTTCTCTTGCAGGGAAGTTGAAATGGAAGGATTAAAGAGATTTCAAGGAACTTCCTAGAATTTGATTGTGCCTTAGAAAGGTTGAGAAGGATGAGAAAGGAGCAGGTGTGGAAAAAGAAAGTAAGGAATCTATTCAGTTCAGGTCAGTCACTCAGTCTCTTTGCGACCCCATGGACTACAGCATGCCAGCCTCCCCTATCTATCACCAACTCCTGGAGCTTGCTCAAACTAATGTCCATTGAGTTGGTGATGCCATCCAACCATCTCATCCTCTGTCATTCCCTTCCCCTCCTGCCTTCAGTCTTTCCCAGCCTCAGGGTATTTTCCAGTGAGTCAGTTCTTCACATCAAGTGGCCAAAGTGTTGGAACTTCAGCTTCAGCATCAGTCCTTCAAATGAATATTCAGGACTGATTTCCTTTAGGATTGACTGGTTTGGTCTCCTTGCAGTCCAAGGGACTCTTAAGAGTATTCTCTAAAACTTCAGTTCAAAAGTATCAATTTTTTGGTGCTCAGCTTTCTTTATGGGCCAACTCGTACATCCGTACATGACTACTGGAACTTTGTCGGCAAAGTAATGTTTCTGCTTTTTAATATGCTGTCTAGGTTTGTTGTAGCTTTTCTTCCAAGGCACAAGCATCTTTTAATTTCATCACTGCAATCACCATCTGCAGTGATTTTGGAACCCAAGAAAATAAAGTCTCTCACTGTTTTCATTATTTCCCCATATATTTGCCATGAAGTGATGGGACCGGATGTCACGATCTTATTAAAGAATCTATTATGTAAGGCCATTACAGTATACTAACACATATATATGGAATTTAGAAAGATGGTAATGATAACCCTATATGCAAAACAGAAAGAGACTCAGATATATAGAACAGACTTGTGGACTCTGTGGGAGAAGGCGAGGGTGGGATGTTTCAAGAGAACAGCATCAAAACATGTATATTATCTAGGGTGAAACAGATCACCAGCCCAGGTTGGATGCATGAGACATGTGCTCGGGCCTGGTGCACTGGGAAGACCCAGAGGGATCGGGTGGAGAGGGAGGTGGGAGGGGGGACCAGGATGGGGAATACATGTAAATCCATGGCTAATTCATTTCAATGTATGACAAAAACCACTGCAATGTTGTAAAGTAATTAGCCTCCAACTAATAAAAATAAATGGGAAAAAAAAGAATCTATTATGTCACATTAGATTTAAAATGGTGGCAACCTTAAGTGAAAAGAAATATCAAATGCCAAATAGTACCTGCAACAAAAGCCTATTCTTGTAGAATCATTTACATACTCACTCAAGAGCTAATGGTAAATGTCTCTTATGAAATTTAAAATTTGTATTTGGTATGGCAGAATCTTGGGGGTGCAAAGGCAATTCCAGCTCCAGCAACATCACCACCAAGCCCAAAGACCAAGGGAAGTCTCAGGTCTAGAACAACAAAGATATTCATTCATTTTCTCTTCTGATATTATAAGGGTCATTGTGGGACAGGTTAGAGTTCTGTGCTGGACATTTTTCTTAAAGCAGAGTTTAGAAGGTGGCCAAATATATCCCCAACACTATGTTTTAAATAATATTTGTGACCAGAGACAAAAATTATTTTTTAATATTACAATTTACTCACCAATGTCCCTTAGGGGAAAAATATTTAAAGAGAAATGTAGCAACCCTGAACCCACCTTTCTAAAGGGCATCACTCAGCATTAATTCAAAAGCAGCTCACTGATGTGGGGTCTCGTGCCTTCCAGGTTTCCCTGCTCACCAGCCATCCTTCACACACCCCCAACCTGGCCCTGGAGGTTGTGGGGTTCCTGTCTCATGTAGGAAGATGCCAAGCAATTTGGCCTGAGCCTGGGGTATTATATCAGGAAAAGAATACAGTTCTTCTATAACTTCAGTGGGCAGTGGGTAGACCCCTAGGTGTGAGTTGGGGTCTTGGGTTTCAGGAACCATGTGTATCCAAGCTTCTTTCTCCAGTAGCTGTGGAACTTCAAATCAAGGGTAAACAAAACTCAGCATAAAAGCCAGACTCAGGAGTATCCCAGGGCACCTAGTGTGTCAAAGAACCTCAAAAACAGTTAATTTTTCCAAAAAGAATTTGAGGCCCAGGGCATAAAACGAACTGTCAGAAAGTTAATGGCAGCTCCCAGTGAGCCTCAAAGGGTTGTAGGTCAACAGGGCTTAGCCTTCCAATTCAGGTATGAATTACCTGAGCATCCCTACACATGCAATCACCAACAGGAACCAAAAGTTTTCCAAGGAAAAATGAAAAGTCACTGGATGGGGAAATCTAATTAACATTTTCTTTCACCGATGCTCTCTGGAGTCAGTGCCAATCAGAGAAACCTTGAGCTTGAAGCCAAAGCCAACATCAAAGAACTGTCAAATTGACCATCAGAGGATAGGCCTTGTCCCAGCCAATAGGCTGAACTCCAGGCAGAGACACCCAAGGTGTCTGTCAAAGTGCTGGCATTTTGGCAGAGGGAATGGCTGGCATGTGAGGCTCTCCCTCAGGTTCTTGGATATTTCTTGATTATTCCTGAAGACTTTATGTCAATCAACTGCCCTGCCATTTATGAAGGATTCATTCTACACCAAGCTCTGGGCTCAGTGCTTTTTTCTGAGTTAGACACTATATGGTAGTCATTCAATTGAGTGAGAGATAGCTGAAGCTCTAATACTTGGCCACCTGATGCAAAGAGCTGACTCATTGGAAAAGACCCTGATACTGGGAAAGATTGAGGACAAGAGAAAAACAGGATGACATAGGATGAGATATCTGGACAGCATCACTGATTCAATGAATGAGTTAAAGCAAACTCTGGGATATAGTGAGAGACACAGAAGCCTGGCATGCTCCAGTCCATACAGTAGCAAAGAGTCAGACTTGACTTAGCAATGGAACAACAAATAACTTCTTTCAAGGCACACAGCCTATATGTGGTGGGATTGAAAGTTCTATTTGTTAATGCTCTTGAATATTACACTGTACTGTCCCAGAGCCCAGCATTGTGTTGCCTACTTTGAGCTTTGTAGTAAAATGCTGGAGTCATAGGTTCCTCTCTTCGAGGAGGAAGCATGAATGAGCATGAAGTTCAGATATTTTCCAGGTTGTTTTCTCTGAAGAATTTGTTATTCCAAAAACTGGGCAGGTAAAACAAAAGTGGAGTGTTTCCAAATGTCTATTCCTGGGATCAGCAGCATTAGCATAACTTTAGAACATTTAAAAAAGTGATTTTCCACTGAAGACCAACTGATTCAAAAACTCAAAAGGTGGGACCAACATCAGTGTTTTAATAAGCACCTCCTCCAAACCCCATCACACCTGTAAGGGATGTTGATGCTCCTTACTTTGAGGGTCCAGGAATGTAGGTGCAGGAATGTAGGAAGAAAATCCTCTCTGGCTTGATTCCTCCCTCTTTTCCACTTTTTTAGAAAAGTAGGGAAATCTTCCACCAACCAGGCCACTGCTACATTTGGGGAAGCCCAGTTGTTAATCTGGTAGCAATGTTTTAGTTTGATTTTTGAACCCTTAGTAATCTGGTTCAAGTACTTCTGGTTACTGCAATGTTAACATTCACCTTTTAGACTCTATGAATGTGTGTGTGTGTGTGTGTGTGTGTGTGTGTGTGTGTGTGTGTTTGTGTGCAAGCAGAAAGGTCACGGAACACTGACCAGGTGCAGATAGTCATAGGCCCTGACATCCACTCAGTTCCACATCCACCCTCAACAATTTTCCCTCCAGCTTCTTAACTGCCTGGAGAGGACTAGATGGGTTGAAAGCTAAGTGATGGAATGTGTACTGGGACCAGAGAATGCCCTCTTTCCATGCTAAGAAATATCAAGCACAGAATAGCTCATGCAACAACATCCTATTCATAGAAAATCATTCATATACTCATTCAGGAGCCATTGACAAATGCCTCCCATGGAATATGTAGTTTATACATGTTGTTACAGGATTTGTGGGGGTGCAAGAGCAATTCCATTCCCATCAATTTCAAAGCCAGTTCCACTGATCAAGGTATGTCTCAGGTCCAGAAGATCAAAGGACTGTCGTTTTACTTCTGATGTCATCAGGTGCCGCATCCAGCACAGCGGGTTAGAAAGAACTGAAATAGGGACAAGCATGTAATGAAAAGACAAAACACATATGATTTGTCAAGCGGGGAGTCAGGGGGTCCTCCTGCTCTCCGTGGCAGGAAGACAAAATGGCTCCTTTCAGCCCGCACTTTCATTGGCAGAAGTCACCTGAGATCATCAGGGAATAGCTATACTGGGGGGTTTGATTACTTGCAGGCTCTGCCGTTGATCAGGAATATCTTGTTTTGTTTCCATGGAGACAGATGCAGGGGTAGGCAGGGAAGCAGAGCAGAGAGCATGTCCTGCCCCAAGAATGTCTGTCCGGCATGCATACTAGGACGATCACGAGGGCGCAGTTTGCTGCACCCTCCAGTCTTGGGGCAGGTTCTGGTCTCTGTTCTGCCAGGCTGCAACAGTTAGGGTCATTGTGGGCCAGGTCAGGGTGCCAATATCACACCAGGCTTCCCTGTCCATCACCAACTCCCAGACCTTGCTCAAACTCATGCCCATAGAGTAGGTGATGCCATCCAGCCATCTCATAAAACATACTATTTTAACCATATCTTATAAAGTATGGTCAATAGGGTAAGTTGAATAGCTATGTGCTTCTGGCTTTTGACCTCACCTATTCAACCTTCCTGAATGCTTGGTGGCTCAGCAATAAAGAATCCAACTGCAAAGCAGGACACCTGGGTTCAATCTCTGAGAGATTCCCTGGAGAAGGATATGATAACGCACTACACTATTCTTGCCTGGAAAATCCCATAGACAAAGGAGCCTGGAGTGTTACAGTCCATGGGGTCACGAGTCAGACATGACTTTAGAGAGTAAACCACTACCAACTGTACATTTCAGTGACACTAAGTTTATTTACATTATTGTGCGACTCTCACCATCATTCATCTCCAAAAGTTTTCACCTTCCTAAACTGACTCTGTCCCCATTAAATACCAAGTCCTTCCCCATCCCCACACTCCACATCCCCAACAATGTACTTTGTGACTCTATGAATTTGCCTATTCTAAGCACTTCATATAAGTCAAGTCAAGTAATATTTGTCTGAACCTACTGTATTTTGGAATGTATTTTAAAAGTTAACTTAATATACACCCTACGGGCTGTACATTCTTTTTTATCCCCTGTGCTATACAGTAGGTTCTTATTAGTTATCTATTTTATACATAGCAGTATGCATATGTCAACCCAAGTCTCCCAATTTATCCCTCCCCTTTCCTTTCTTGGTGTCCCTAAGTTTGTTTTCTATGTCTGTGTCTCTATTTCTGCTTTGAAAGTAGGTTCATTTGTACTATTTTTTCTAGAGTCCATATATACTTTGCTCCTGGACATATACCAGAGAAAACCATAATTCCAAAAGATATATGTATCCCAATGTTCATTGCAGCACTATTTACAATAGCCAGGACATGGAAGCAACATAGATGTCTATCAGGAGAGGAGTGGTTAAAGACAGTATGACATATATACACAAGGGAATATTATTCAGCCTTAAAAAGGAAGAAAATTATACTACTTGCATACACAGGGATGAAACTAGAAACTCTCATACAGAATGAAGTATTTCAGAAAGAAAAATCAAGTTTTGTTTAACAAGTTACTCCCAATATCCCCTGGGGAAAAACAGTAAAAGAAACATGTGGCAGCACTGATGCACATTCCTAAAGGGCATCAGTTCAGTTGCTCAGTCGTGTCCGACTCTTTGTGATCCCATGAATCACAGCACGCCAGGCCTCCCTGTCCATCACCAAATCCCAGAGTCCATCCAAACCCATGTCATCGAGTCGGTGATGCCATCCAGCCATCTCATCCTCTGTTGTCCCCTTCTCCTCCTGCCCCCAAGCCTTCCCAGCATCAGGGTTTTTCCAATGAGTCAACTCTTCGCATGAGGTGGCCAAAGTATTGGAGTTTCAGCTTCAACATCAGTCCTTTGCAATGAACACCCAGGACTGATCTCCTTTAGGATGGACTGGTTGGATCTTCTTGCAGTGAGTTAGTCTCACAGTCATGTCCAACTCTTTGCATGGACTGTAGTTCCCTGTCCATGGGATTCCCCAGGCAAGAATACTGGAGTGGGTTGCCATTTCCTTTTCCAGGAGATCTCCTTGTTTCAGGAATTGAACCTGGGTCTCCTGCATTACAGGCAGATTCTTTACCTGAGCTACCAGGGAAGCCCAACCTAGACAGCATATTAAAAGGCAGAGACATTACTCTATGGACAAAGGTCTGTCTAGTCAAAGCTATGGCTTTTCCAGTAGTCATGTATGGATGTGAGAGTTGGACCATAAAAAAAAAAAGAGTCTTCTCCAACACCACAGTTCAAAAACATCAATTCTTCGACACTCAGCTTTCTTCACCGTCCAACTCTCACACCCATACATGACTACTGGAAAAACCATAGCCTTGACTAGATAGACCTTTGTTGCAAAGTAATGTCTCTGCTTTTAAATATGCTATCCAGGTTGGTCATAACTTTCCTTCCGAGGAGTAAGCGTCTCTTAGTTTCATGGCTGCAGTCACCACTGGCAGTGATGTTGGAGCCCCCCAAAATAAAGTCTGTCACTGTTTCCACTGTTTCCCCATCTATTTCCCATGAAGTGATGGGACCAGATGCAGTGATTTAAGTTTTCTGAATGTTGAGATTTAAGCCAACTTTTTCACTCTCCTCCTTCACTTTCATCAAGAGGCTTTTTAGTTCCTCTTCACTCTCTGCCACAAAGGTGGTGTCATCTGCATATCTGAGGTTCTTGATATTTCTCCCAGCAATCTTGATTCCAGCTTGTGCTTCATCCAGCCCAGCGTTTCAGCATTAACTCAGAAGCAGCTTCCCTGACGTGGGGTCCAGTGTCCTCCAGGTCTCCCAGGTTCCCACCTACAGTCCTTCACCCACCCCCCACTTGGCACTGGGCACGTGGGCTTACAGTCTCATGTAGGAAGATGACAGAGAGTTTCACCTGAGACTGGGGATTTGAGTGAAGGAAACTGCTCTCCTACAACTACAGTGGATAACGGATGAGAAGAGCCCCAGGTGGCAGTTGGGGGCTTGGGTTTCAGAAACCACCTGCAGCCAAGCTTCTTCTCCAGTGAATCTTGGAGTCAAATTCCAGGATAAACATGACCCAGCAGGAAAGTCAGGCTCTGAGGTAAACCTCTAACGTGTCACAGGAACATCAGAAACAATTTCTTTCTCAAACAAAGAACTTGAGGTCCAGGGGGTGAAGAAAGCTGGGAGCAAGATAATGTCTGCTCAAAACTTGGACCTCAGAATCAGTTCCAAATGGTTTATAGGGCAACAAGGCTTAGTCTTTCAATTTAAGCATCACCTCTCCTAGCATCTATACACCTAAAAACATCAATAGGCCTCAGATGGTTTCCAAGGAAAAAACAGAAAGTCGCTGGACGGAGAAATCTGATTCAGATTTTTTTTTCACATCTCATCCCTGGATTAGTGCCAAACAGAGAAACCCTGAACCTAAGCCTTATAGGTGCCTGCGTGTTCAGTCAAGTCCGACTCTTTGCCACTCGAAGGACTGTAGCCCAATATGTTCCTTTGTCCATGGAAATTTCCAGGCAAGAATACTGGAGTGAGTTGCTGTTTCATACTTCAGGGGATGTTCACAACCCAGGGATACAACCCCCACCTCTGAGTCTCCTGTATTGCAGGCAGGTTCTTTACCACTGCACCACCTGGGAGCCTAAACCATAGCCAACTATAAATAATTGTCTAATGGACTATCAGAGGACAGCCTTGTTGCAGCCAGTGGGCTGAATTTGGCTCCCAGGGTTTTCTCTTAAGTCACTGGCTTCCAGAATCAAAGCATCACAATTTGTAAGAGGGGATGACTGACATGTGAGACTCTGCCTCAGGTTCTGTTTGTCGCCATGGCTGTTTCACCTTGTGGTCTTTGAATGTCAAACAACAGTCCTGCCATTTATGGAGGATTTATTCTGCACCAAGCTCTGGACTCTGTATTTTTATCTGAGTTAGAGATCATATGGTGCCCATTCCATAGAAGGAGAGATAGATTCAAAGAGGAGCAGTAACTTCTTCGAAGGCACACAACCTGTAAGTCATGGAACTGGAAGTTCTGTTGGTTGATGTTCTGAAATACTGCTCTATGCCAGCTATATTCTGTCCACTTTGAACTTTGTAATTAAATACTGGAGTCATGGGCTCTTCTCTTCCAGGAGGAAGTATGAAAGAGAATAAGATTAAGATTTTTCCCACATTGCTTTGTCTGAAGAACCTGTTGTCCAAAAACTGCACTGATAAAATGAAAGTAGAGTGGCTCCATCTACTACAGTGGTTCTCAATGTCTGGTCCCCCAACTAGTAGTATCAGCATCAACTGAGAACTTTTTACAAATTTATGTTTAGAGATTTTATTTATTTTTTTCATTTATTTTATTTTTGGCTGTGGTGGGTCTTCACTGCTGCTCTCGGGCTTTCTCTGGTTGCAGAGAGAGGGGCTACACACTTCTTACATGGTGCTCTCTGTTATGGAGCACAGGCTCTAAACGATCTGGCTTCTGTAGTTGTGGATCTCAGGCTCTAGAGTGAGGGCTCAGCAGCTGTGGTGCAGGGGCCCACAGCTCCATGGCATGTGGGGCCCTCGCAGACCAGGGGTCAAACCAGTGTTTCCTGTATTGCAAGGAGACTTCTTAACTACTGGATCATCAGAGAAACCCTGAGAACTTTTCAAAAAGTGACTTCCCAGCCTCACCCCAGATCCACTGTCCAGAAATTCAGAGGGTGAGACCAACATCAATGTTTTAATAAACACCTCCTTCCCCCAATACCAACCACATCCGCCAGAGATGCTGAGCCTCTTCACTTTGAGAGACCAGGTGAAGAAGAGAGGAAGGATAAAGGTCTTCTCTGGCTCAATTCCACCCTCATTCCACTCTTTTAGAGAAAGTAAGAAAATCCTCCACCAACCATGTTAGTGCTTGCTATTGGTCAAGGAGCCCAATTATTAACCTGGTAGCAAAATTTTAAACTTAGTTTGGAACCC